AAACTTCAGCGTCTCTTTCACCTTCCTGCTTAATCACAATTTCTGCAGATCTTAACTCATTGGGCATTTTTGATTTAAGTTAATCTGGGCTATTTGCCAAACATCTCTGACCTCTAAATTATACACTGATGCCTGCAACATTAGGTTGTCCCAGTAGGGCTGGAAAGGGACTTTCCTTGGCATCATGCCCACTACTTCTTTGTGTCTACTACTTTCTTCACAAGTTAAAGGTCGACTAATGGTAGTAACTTCATCATCAGCGTTGGTCATTGTTTTAAGCACAGCAATTCGTACAGGTTTGCTGAGAACTACACCGGATTTAGTTCGAGTTCTTATTGGACTGTGTTGTCTCGGTTCTTCGGGTCTATTAGGACGATAATACTTGTCGCTCGCGGGTTCCGGGGAAGGCCTTACCGGACTCGGTTTTGTCTTTGGAGTTCGGCTACGAGCTTCACTCAGGGACATTTGATCACACTGCGGGTTAGAGCCGCAACATCGTCCTCATCACTATCACTAATTACATCATTGCCAACTCGTGCCAACATTTATTGCCGCTGTTTTAATCGCAGCTACAGGGAATCCTGCAGAATCGCAGCAATCCTCAAGCGCGGAGGTGTATTGTTTATCTAATTCATGCCTTTGTTCAAGTTTAAATCAAGAAATAACATTTATTTTGCCAGGCATAATAAAACATCAACCAAAAGAACAAATTCAATTAATAAAATAAATACATCAATTGAAAAATAATGTAGCTAAAATTTTGTTACACAACTGATCAGCATAAAACATAAAATAAGAAAAATAATGTTGAAATAATTTCAAAGAGTCAGCATACCTGGCAAATAGAGAGACACATGGCATTCGTGTGGGAAGTTCTGTTTACAGATGCTTCCTTGAATGTTTCACCAATTCTCTTTAAATACCCAAATCAGAAAAAGCAACCATAAATTTAAGATTATAAAAACGTCACAGAACTTTTGTTAGGACATGAAGTGACCTGAGAAAAAACAACATCTGGAAAGGACCTTATCAGGGGCACAACCCACACCAGGGGCCTCATTTATAAAATGTGCGTACGCACAGATTTGATCTTAGAGTGTGTGTACGCTAAAATCCACGGCAACGTTCATATTTATAAAAACAGTCTTTGACGTGGAAAAGTACTTACCGCCACGTCAGGGTCTGAGCAGGCGTACGCACTTTTCCTTGTGGCAAAGTCGGAGTACTGCAGCTATTTGAACATCTAAGCTGCAATAATAATAAAAGCGGTGTACGTGCAAGCACCGAATTCATCATAAACAACAAAAATGCAGTGTAAGAGATTAATGTACTGTAGTCAGACTTTTTATTAACGGGAGTTTTTGCGAGATTAATCTGACCTTTTTAGTAGCATAATGTTGAGAGTTCTTACTTGCTTTCTATACACAGTTTATTCCGTGTTGTTTTTTTTTTTTTTTTTTTTTTTTTTACAATGGAACTTGCGAAGTCTTGATTTACTACTAATGCGTAAAATAGAAAAAAACTCAAGACTGTTTTGTCAGTTATGTCGAGCAATAACGGTTTTAATATATTCTATTCAATAATGGTTTTAATATAACATTGTTAACAGTTTTTATTTATAACAGCTGCTGCTTTGCTTCTGTGAAAATTAATAGAGACATCAGCCTTAAACTTTGTTTTTGTCATTTACATCAGTTATATTTGTATAAAATACACTATATATTTTTGTGTCAGTACATTAATGAGCAGCATTAGTAAACTGTGTAAATATAAAGAAATGCCACATCACATGCAGTTTTTTTCAGACCGGAGACCGTAATCGTGTAATTTATTTTATTATGATATGAAACGTCCAGTTTTTCTTTGTATAATGTTTTTTAAAGTTTTGCAAGAATTTCGTGATACTAAACTTTTTATTAGTTGTCATACCAAGTGATTTTAAAAGTAGGATGGCTCACTTTGTACAAGATGACTGACAATTTTACTTGAATTCGTAGTTTATTCTTGCTTTTGGAAACCTACTACTACTACTACTACTACTACTACTGTTGTTTCTAGAAGTAGTAATTTTGATAATAGTCAATAGAAAAAATATAACCACACACACATTGTTTGTTCACAGAATAATTACACATTGTTAAATAAAAAGCGTCCCCGCACGAACCTCAAATTATCTTAGAACAAATTTAGGAAGGTTTATATGCAACATTTTATAAATGAGGCCCCAGAAGAACAGAATTTTCCTCAGTTTTGAGATCTTTATTTTTGGTCCGTTCTACTGAAATGAGACTGAGATCATATTTCCAATCGCACCGGGACTGTAAAATTGATACCAAACATGAAAGGGTTATGCTTATGAATTCTGAAGATATAGTAAATGCATGATATAAGTATAGTAACTTGAGTTCTGGACACCCCTAAGTCAACTTTTATGGCCTGGGCCATCTGCTCAGGAAGGAAGGAGGGGGGCCTAAGAATGGGTGAAGGGATAGATGGGCAAATGGTCTTTCTCTCAGGTCTTCCTGTCAGATTAGAAAGTTTATTGTTTTGTTGTATGGCATGTGTGTTGCCAGAGTTCCTGATTTTTGGCTTCACGAGGAGATCAAAGCCCCCTTACACTATCCTCAATTAAAGTTTGGATGCGTGTCTCTAATTCTGAAATCTTCTCTGTCAGCCTAACTATTTCCCTGCATTTATCACATGTGAAACCCTCGTCACCGACAGAGAGAGCTAAACTATACATGTGGCAGGCGGTGCAAACAACAATAGCAGGAGAAGAAGCCATTACTCACCGTGATTGATGAATGATTCTTACTTACCACAGTTGTTTGATGAACTTGTGAATAAATGGAGCGAGAGAAAAAAAAAGAAAACAGCAAAAGAGCGAATGGAAATATGAATGACAAGCTAACCAGCTAACGAATGCTGCACTCGCGGTTTTAGAATAAAAGCGAATGATCAAATGAATCAGATTAGTTTTATAGATAATATCAGAAATAAGGTGGGAATTAAGTTATATTTTATCACTTTAAACAACAGAGAATGATAGTAAGATAGAGATTCAACAGAAAAGCGGAGATACATGGAGCTACAATCACAAACCACTCTGCAGCATGGTACACAGGAAATGGAAATCAAGGACTAATGAAGTCAAGTCGTTAGTGCAGAGATTAGTGTGTATTTTGTAAAACATTTAGATTTTTATCACTTAATTAGAAGCACTTCAGTTCTCTGGCCCCTGTAATTGTCTTCTGTCACAGAGAAATATTAAAAGTGCCAACGTTTTGAAAATCAAAATGTATAAATAAAGTGTTTTGGTGTGTCCTACGGGCTAATTGAATGTTCTACACCACTGCAGTCTTCAAGCCCACTTAAATAACTGGGCCAAATACAGGAGATAGGTATCATGTAATTAGAGAGTGGTCGGATGCTGCAGACTGCAGGTGTGGCTGTTGTTGGGACGGGCCGGGATGTGCCTGAATCAGCTGCTGTTGTTTCTTGTTCTGCTTTATGACTTTTAGACGACTTGGTTGCTGCTCTTGAGGTTGCACAATTATGTTTGATCATGAATGAATGATGTATTAAGAAGTGTAGTCATTCTAAGGCTTTTGTTTGATTGGGACTCATAATCAGCTGCAGTTAAATATTATGGAATATATATGCAAGAAATTTGAAGTCATATTCCGTGAAGTCAAGTCATATTATAAAATGCATATTCATTGAAATGAAATGTATATTATAAAGTAAAAAGTGTCACACATTTTCCACATAATCGATTTATTTTGGTGTATTTGGATACAGCACATGGTAGCACTGCGGCTAGAGGCTGAAGAAGCTCCACACTTCCCACTACATCCATCACGACTTCAGAGATCACTCACAGAGGCTGTGATCCTTTGAAATACCACTCTGACTACATTTTTATTGTCATGTTAGTGTTTCCATTTACAAATAAGAAAGCAGAGGTAAGAAGAAGCTTACATACAATACGGAGATATCCCACAGAGCTTGGAGGGATGGTGATGGTGTAGGATCGCTTTAGCTCCTTCACAGCTCATCGTGTAAAGCCATGCACTGCAATTCCACCCCTTTTACTCAAGTCTTTTTGTAGGAAAATAGATTTTAATGCGTACACAGGCTTACATACATTTGCAGGCGTTCGCAGCATGACTTTGATCAGTACAATTCAGGATGCTGTATGAGTGGCAGAAGACGACTGTGAAATCAGACAAACGAGGTTACAGTTAACTCAAAGCCCTAATTACTGTCTGAAGATCTTTCTACTTCTTCTGTTATAAAATCAAATGAAGTATCAAGCCACAAATGTCTTCTGGTTGGTTGAGATGTGATGATGTCATTAAACTGCAGGCCCGTCATGACATCATCACTGCTCCTCCCAGACCAGATAAAGCATAATAACAAGAGGAAAATGCTCTGAAACACTAAATCTCTGAGCATGAGACCATGAATGTGGTATAAATATGTTAAAGGTGAAAACATACCAAATATTTGTTGTAAAAGATGACTTACATTCAGAACATGAACCATCAATTTGTTCTTTTGTACTGTGTGTCTATTTGCCTGTCCTGTATCATATGCTGCCATCAGCTCCTAAAAATGTTCTATTTCCTTCAGACAGGAACAGCCCAACTTCATTTATTTCAACGAATGCACGCACTAGAAAGAACAACTGATGACAAATGTGTGATAGATTATACTGTATGACTATATGTTATTGTTAGTAGTAATTCACTGTACATAATTAGCAATGTTTGACAGACTGATGACAGACACTGGAGCACAGCAGTTGTCCGACTCTGGCAGCCGGGGTTTGGCTTCAGCGTTACAGCACGGCCTCACACTACATCAACTACAGCTCATGCTGTTATTTGCTGCAGGAAATCCTTTTTTTGTTGTTTTTTCTTTTAAAAATATAGTGTCAAGATCACAAAATGTGGCTTTAGTGCAGCGGCTGTATTATTTTAAAAAAAAAGTTATTTTAAAAACTTGCTTGGGTAACACACTTGGACAACAATACAAACGATACACAGTTAAAAGCCCTGAACTTTGATTATTAAGACAGAGAGACACACATGGCAGATTAATAATGTTCATACATACTGTATTATAAAACATGAATTCATAAAGACAATCGCATTACAAGCAAAAAATTAAATAATAATAGTAATAAATAAAAACATGATCTAAACCAAATATATTAGCCTTAATGAAAACAAAAAGATGTATATACATGTATTTCATATATTAAAAACAATGTAAGAACGTGTAAGAATAATACAAAAACCATACTTAAAATGATTTTCACGTTTTGTAATCGTGAATGGGAAAAGAATGCCTTCAAATCATAATGAATATTAAAAGATTTTTCAGATCTGACTTCTGTTGACTGCAGTTATTTCAGCTGATGTATTCGACATAAGGCATTGTTCAGAGAGGCAGCAAAATCAGTTCATTTTGGTGTATCTTTTGTCTGACATTTCTGGAAATGCATCTTAGCCTGTACTGACTGAAACACTGACTACACCGTCTGAACAGTCACTCCTACGCCATGTGAACAAGGCCTCAGTCTGTTCTACACTCTCAAACAGCTGTATTCGCTTGTGTCTGTTGTCTATCACACCTTATTCTACAGAAATTCAGCGAGAGAACTGGACAAACGTCCAGTGAGGGAGAATGTACAGTCCAAACATCACTTGAAGCAGCGAGGTGAGCATATTGTAAACAGTTTTCAGTGCCTGGATGGAATGTTAGACGCAACTGTCCTGCAGGCTATTCGTGTCATTATTATGTGAGAGTGAAGCCGGCGGTGTTTGCAGATGATGTTTCTTGCATCATATAGTAACGACTGTCTGTCCTGAAATCAGTACCCTGTCTAATACCACCAGGGCCCCTCATTCAGATGGTCAAGGATGTGTGCGCGTGTGGGGGTGGAGTGTTAGTTTGGCCCCAGGAATCCTGTCACAGACGTGGGAAAGCTGGTGCTGGCCGGAGGCATGTTGGGATTGACGGGAGACGTGGTGCCCGAGCTGCCGTGAGTGCCGTGACCGTTCGGATCTCTGCGTCCGCTGTACTGGCCGATGAAGGAGCCGTCCTCGTTAAACTGGATGTCCACACTGTCTCCGTAGTCGGCTAGACTGTCGTTGCTGCTGCGCTTGCTCTCGCAGACTGACTGCTGACTGATGGAGCACTTCTCGTTATCACTGAAGGAGATACAGAGCAGACGCTTGGATTACAGCTGACCAGGAAATAAGAGCACAGTCACGACACAGTTAGTGAGAGAAAGCTGTTCTTACCTCTCCAGAGATCTGTGTGTGTGAGAGCGTGAGTATGAAAGCAGAGACAAACCATCAGCATTAGATGTTAGCAGCTTAATTCACTAATCAACATTTCAGGGTCAGATTTCACCCAAAATCTATTTTTTCTTCTTTATCTGTCATTTTCATGACAATTAAGCACACTTCTCCCAGAATGTAATTAATCTAAATCTAATTAATAGCATATTAATCACATCAAATTTGGCTGATGAAAATTACCCACAAAAGATAATTTAAAGCCATTATTGTGTTACATGACAAAAGTATGAAATAGATATTACAAAAAGTAGCTTTAGAAATATATATTTTTCTTACTTTTTTTTATTTATTCCCCCCAATTTTTTATTTTTGGGTGAACTGGCACATTCATTAGTTTTTTTATTAATATGTAAATATGAAAGTATCCACGTCGATGCGTAAAGCGTGAATTGGGCGTCAGACAAAAATGCCTGCAGATCTCCTACCCTCTTGATGGAAGTTGGCGTGGTCAGGAGAGCTGTCTGAAGGGACGGGATCTTGAGCTACTTGAGTGACTCAAAGGGAACCTTCTGTAGTCCAGCAAGGACCAAGAGATCCCAAGAGGGGATGAGGTGCGGTCTTGGAGGATTTAACCTCCTAGCACCTCTCAGGAAACTGATCAGGTCATGCTTTCCCAAGGACCTGCCATCCACTGCGTCGTGATGTGCCGCAATGGCAGCAACATACATTTTTAAGGTGGAAGGGGACAGTCTCTGCTCCAACCTTTCCTGCAGGAAAGAAAGCACCACACTGATCAGGCATCTCCAGGGGGAGAAATGCGCACTTGCTGTGTGCCAGTGCATCTGTACCGAATGGGGCCTCGGTCAGGGAATAAAACAGCTGGCAATGGGAGGACGTGAGAGTGCATCGGCTGCATGATTGAGCTCCTCTGGGATGAGTATGGCACTAAGCAATTTAAGCCATGTCATGTCATGTCTAAGCCAAGGAGGAGATGGTGGATGAGTTGCGACATGTGACAAGAGCATACTGTAATTACTGGACCGAGCAGGCACACAATTATTTATATTTAACAAATAATCTTTAAAACTCACTCCGTGAGTTCCATGGACCATCCCCCAAAAGTGCAACTATCACTCCAAGAGGGCTGTTACCTGGGCTACCATCTGATAAGACTGTTTTATTGCTCAAAAGTATGTGGAAAGATGCTATGTGCAATGGAACAGACCCTGTGAAAGACAGACACAGGCCTATAGAACGGACCTTTCCACACATAAATACATAGACAAAGCTTTCTATGAATAAACATGCATATTCCAGGTCACTGCGTCTACTATTCACTTGAGACATTTACAATCATGTATCCTATGTAATCATGTTATTTTATAGTGTTTTGCCTATATACTAAAACTTGAATGAATGCTTTAGTATTACTTAATTACCAAGCACGGCATATGTGCGATCTTGGTTATCTATGAGCTCCAAATTACGTTTCCTATTTGTTAATTTACATGACATGTTGCTAACTCTGTGACACATTAGTATTATAAGAATCTTGAAGATTCTCCTCTTGACCAGCCAAACCAGTTTCATATGCAAAAGACCCTGCTAGAAGACAAAGGATCGTAAAATGGTACCATTCCTCATTGGCTCACTTAAATCCTGAGGGTGTGACATTGTCTCACTTTAAAGATCACTGATCACCAGATCAGGGCGGTTCTTTTAGATTTTGAGAAGATGAGGATGCTGAGCTAGAAGTCTTTAAAGACCCTTAAGTTTTTATTCAGACCACTTTTATTCATGACATGCAAGTATCAAACTTAGTCTCATTGTTTGATCCATTAAGTATCCCCACCGCTTTTAAAGGAGGGTGTGTTAGAACTCAGAAACTGATGTTTTGCTTAAGGCTGTTGATCTGCTGAATCTCAAACAATAAAAAACTTCTTGCTTTCCTCTGCTTAAGCTCTCTTTCCATTGATAAATGTATGCATGTATGTGTTAGAATAGTTTAAGTGTTTAGTGTAGTTAAATAAAGTCACGTTTTTATCACACTCAAGGTTGTATGTTGTTTTGCTCATAGCTGGAGTCCCTAATCATGCAGATTTTGGCTACATGCTCTGAGAAGTATTGTACAATAAGGATGTGATATCCCATACCCCGGAAATAAACATTTCTTAGATAATAAATAAATAACACCAAGTTCCTGTGCTCGCACAACAGATCTTGCGAGTGAGCTAATATACGCTAGTTGTCGAGTCAGTTGAGTATCCGGATGCACACTTTGTGTAGTGGGACAAGGGCACCCTCTGTGAAGACGCGGGGAAACAGAACAGCCCGAAGGGGAGGACTTCATACTGATATGCTCGACCCTCAAAAGCAAACCAATGAAACGGTCTGTGCCGAGGTAAGATCGAGAAATGAAAGTACGTGTCCTTCAGGTCAATCTTGGGGCCAAACACATGAAAGGATGTGTTTCTGTGTCAACATCCCCAGACTCCGCACACGCAGCACCAAAGGGACGATTGATGTACCTGCAGGATCGTCATGGATTGCAGGGCAGAGGCGGCCTGGCACTGTAAGCCATAGCAGCGAGAGCTGAGCTCAGCTTACAAGCTTTGGACGGGAGTCGTGGACAATTCCTCCAAGTGGCAGCGTTTTGCAGGCAGAGATGCACACTCAACCTGGGGAACGTCCACATACCCCTTGGCTGTCAAGTTATCAAGGTTAACATAGTGAGGATGGAAGAGCTAGAGTGTGTAGGGTACCTTCCACACTTTAGTGAGCTCTTCATGCACCTCCAGAAAGAAAGGCACAGGAGCGGAACGTGGCTGTGAGTCACGCCCGGACCCCAGATGCCAATCATCCCCTTGTTCTTTTAGCTGGAGCGCCCTGAAATGCATCTTAAAACACAGCCTGAGAAGTCCACCAAGTCTTTTACTTGTAACTTCTTGGAGGCGATTAGCTGCTTATACAAGCATTCAGCTCTGAAGCGAATTCTAAATGAGTGGATGCACGCCGCCATCTTATATACCCATATGTACAGGGAGTGGCTAGGCATGCAAATTCAACTCGCCAATATTCATTGCCCGTTTCTTGTCAGAGGTGATTGGGCTCCCAAGTGAGATCCCATATAACGTCAGTTACTGTGACTGTCCCGTGTTTAAATGCCTTTCCTTTTCAGTCACAGAAAGCGCCTGTCCATTTTTAATTAGAGACACATGGAAAGCGGCAAATCACTGGCTTTTTTGGTAGCAGCGAAGGCGGTGTGCAATATTATAATATTTCAAATATTGTGGCTTCTCCCGTTTTCTCTCCGTACTTCACACATACGGAGAAAAGGCATGTGTGTTACATTATTTTTATACAGTGGTGTAATATTTCATAGAACAGCATAATCCATACTACTGTCTGATATTAATTTTAATTTATTGACTTTTTAAACTTCTGGGCTCAAAACAGCCCCCAACTCAGGCCCTGCCATACAGGAACAGAGAGGGTCAAGATTTGGAGAGTGTCTACAGATTTTTTGTAGATATATATATGTACATATATATATATATATATATATATATATATAGAGAGAGAGAGAGAGAGAGAGATAGATAGATACATACAGACCTCCATGGATCGGACTTGTTTGCTCAGCAATCCCACAGATTCTCGATTGGATTTAGGTCTGGGAAATTTAGAGGCCAAGTCAACACCTCAAACTCGTTGTTGTGCTCCTTAAACCATTCCTGAACCATTTTTGCTTTGTGGCAGGACACATTATCCTGCTGAAAGAGGCCACAGCCACCAGAGAATACCGTTTCCATGAAAGGGTGTACATGGTCTGCAACAATGTTTAGGTACGTGTCAAAGCAACATCCACATGGATGACAGGACCCAGAATTTCCCGAAGGTGGTACGTGTCAAAGTAACATCCACATGCATGGCAGGACCCAAGGTTTCCCAGCAGAACATTGCCCAAAGCATTACACTGCCTCCACCGGATTGCCTTCTTCCCATAGTGCATCCTGGAGCCATGTGTTCCCCAGGTAAGCCACGCATACGCACCTGGCCATCCATGTGATGTAAAAGAAAACACTCAAATCCTTACGCTTGCCCATTTTTCCTGCTCCTATCACATCAACAAAAATGTTCACTTGCTGCCTAATATATCCCACCAAGAGGTGCCATGATGAAGAGATAATCAGTCATAATCAGTGATTCATGATCAGTCATCGGTCATAATGTTATGCCTGATCAGTATATATATATATATATATATATATATATATATAGACTGTGTCTGTGAATATTAAACTGCAAAAAGACGATTT